GAACTAACACAGCGGATGCAGCTATGAAATGAAATGATACTCCATTCCATGAATCAAAGGAAAAACAACGTCACTGCCTGACGCTTGCAGTCATGTGTGACAGGATTGGCAGCTGAGGCTGTAGATGCCGCACCCCATTACTGCCGTGCTAAGGAAGAACGCCGTATGAACATTCGAGAGTTGCCAAATTTCCCTCGATAAAACGTGTTCTTTTGACGACATTCGTAAACATTCTTCTTTGAAATTTTCAGATATTTTAGATTAAATTGCGTACAAAATTGTCTGAAAATTTTAGGGAAAAAATTCACAATTTTCCCAGTATTATAAGTTTTTATCGAAGGAAACTTGGCAACATCTGAATGCTCATACGGCGCTCTTCCTTAGCACGGCAGATTACCCCCTCCCCCCACACCCACGTAAAGGTAATAACTGAAGCTCTGGGTGCAGAAAGGGCATTTCTTGGTTGCGGTGTCTCAAAATCTCCGCCAAAGTTTTATCCGTTACGATTAAAGCAAATGTATGTAATTCGTTGCAACTTTTTCCACGGTAAAATGAATGGAGTAAAATGGTGAACGAATATTCGCGAATATTCCGTATGATTTTACGATGCTGAAAACGTGAAATTTCAGAAAATTCACCCGAAACCTCGTTTTCCTCTGAAGTATAAATTAGCATTAGAGATTCTGCAACACCGCAACCAAGAAATGCCCTTTCTGAACCCAACGCCTCAACGTAGGGTAAACAATTTAAATGAATACTTTTGGAAATCGTTTAAATTTTGACAATCGTGGAACAAAGGAGGCAGAATTTAAGTCCCAACGTTCAGTTCATCGTTTACTTAGGTCCCAATTTTGACATTTCCAATTCATGGGAATTAATTAGTACCCTAACCCAATGCCAAATGTTGCGGTACTACTAAAATTAATTGGATATGTTCACATCATCTAAATAATTGAGGGTAGTACCACAATTTTTTTTTGCAAAATTCTCTTTTCCGTGATCGCGAAACCATTTGTTGGAGGAACAGGGTTGCCACATTGAAAAAAACCAAAAAAGACGGAGAGTGCCGCGGAATTTTTAAAACTCATGAAAATGTTGTTAAATCATGTAAATATGCACTTCTTATTAGTACGTGTTTGACGTTTTGAACAAAAAATATTGCGTGTATGGATGTGAAAGTGGTAATTTTTACCACTTTTTAATCACTCCTTATATCTTCTAATGTCAGAGAATTTTCCGAAAACATGTTAGTGGTATCAGTAAAATACCAGAGAGTTTCATTTTCCGATTTCTGTGGCAACTCTGTCAAAAGTGCTCTGCGATGTACATATTATAAGTGCGCAAGCCCTTTGGCGCAGTATAATTCTGAGAGCTTTGAGTTGACGACCGTGCGGGCTTTATCTGTAGTCTGATCTTTATTTTTCGCTGTGTATTTTTTCTGGAATAATCTCAATCAAGTTCTCATTTCGTATCTTCAGAAACTGTCAGCGTGTATTAATAGGAAAGTATGTCTTTTGTGAAGCTTTCCATACGTATAATAAGTGCTTACATAGTGTGCAATAGAGCATTTAAATGTATGCTGTTGCAGTTAAATGTAGCAGTTAAGACCATTCCAAAGCTGTAGAATATATATATTTTTTTAGGAGTGGCTGATTGTAAGTTAGAAGCAATTTTGTGCTGTCTGGGGGCCTTGACTGAAGGGATAAAAGTTGTACAGTTGTTTTACATAACTTAGAAATTTTTAAAAACTCACGCTTTCTTTTGGAGATAATTTATATCTTATTATCTTATTATATCTTATTTTATATATTCTTCACTGGAAAAAAAACACACATTGGATCTAGAGTCTAGACTCTTAAAAACATCGACAAGAAAAAAACACTCTTGATTCAATCGGATTTAAGCTGAAATCAAGAACTATGCCTCTTAATTTGAGCGGATTTCCTTTTGATTTAAGCTTAAATCTGATTGAATCAAGAGTCCGTTTTCTTGTCAATGTTTTCAAGAGTCTGGACTCTAGATCCAATGTGTTTTTTTTCCAGTGTTATTATATTTGATTATATTTGGAGATTATTTATTATGTTTGATTATAAATAATCTCCAAGTGAAAGAGTGAGTTTTTAAATTTTTCAAAGTTTTAATACAACAGTTTTTACTGTTTTGTGAAAAATTTGATAGTTTTATTAAAATTATACATTTGTTGTTGCACTTGAAAATTTGTCCAAGTATGTGAGACTTATTAAGTTTTAGCATAAAATGTCATTTCGATTGTACGTCTAGGGTAAGAATCCAAGCACACGTGCAATATTTGTTTCTCCATGAAAAGCGGGGGCTTATCGATGAGGGCCCATTTTTATGCCCAACCTAGCTTGATATCCACAACTGTACAATTTTTGCTCATTGAAGGTCTATGTTGTATGGAATACATCATAAGTTGGTCATTTACAATAAATTTTTCTTCAGGTCTAATACAGACCTAAACATGGGCCTAGAGGCCGATTTTGGCCAAAAACGCAGATTTTTGGCTTTAGACCACAAACCCGTAAAATTTAACCCCCTGATTAAAACCCCTTATTTAAAAGCCCTGCATTTTGAGTCAAAATCAGCTCTTAGACCCATGCATGTAAAGTTCCCCCTTGACCACTGCTCTCACCATGTCTGTATTCTGACTTCCTTTGAAGAAGATTAGCGGAGACAGCAGTTGTCCCCTCGGTTGTGGACCAGTGGCGAAGCGTGAATGCTTTACTATCGATATTTTCCCATTTAAATCTATGATAAGGAATCGATTATTTGGGTGTATGTTGCGAACATGCTGTCTATCGATTCTTTTCCATAGGTTTAAACGGCAAATCAATCGATGTATCGCAAAGCACGCCACGCCGCACTGATGTGGACGGGGGCGGGCAGCAGGACAGACAAAGCAAATTAACGAAGCCAAATACGTTGATGCGACAGTAATTTACAAGCCGACCGCGTAAATTCCAGGGAGGAGACGTAGCGATGTGGCGCGTCTTGCGATAAGTCGATCGATGTGCCATTTAAACCTATGAGAAAAGCTCGATTATCGGGGTGTTATCACAGCCTCTGAAGGGGAAATGTTGAAAGTCGATGTATGATTATTCATTCTTGGGGAGACGAGTCTCCTTAACGAACGCCCCCGCCTTTCTTTGGACCATATTCCTGTGATAAGGCAGGACGCCGTACGAACTTTCGAATGTTGCCAAATTTCTGCTGATGAAAAATTCATTTTGGAAGAAAATTATGCAATTTCTCTGAGAGGAGGGGTATCGATAAGGGCCCTTTTTGGGCCCACCTTGGCTGAATTTCCTCAACTCTACGATTTCCTGCTCACCGAGACTCCATATTTTACGGATCGCATCATGATTTGGTCTTTTCCGGTCTCTCCATGTCTAATGCTAACCTATATGTGGGCCTGAAGGCCGATTTTGGAGAAAAATGCGGATTTTTTGGCATTCGACAGCGCACCTCCGAACTCGAATTTTTCTTCAAAATCGGTTTGCAGACCCATGTTTTGGCCAGTATTCAAAATGAGCAAAAAATTGCAGAGTTGAGGAAATTCAGTGTTGCCAAAGAAACGGCCGCCTTATCTACACCCCTCCTTTTATCAATCGAAAAAATAAAAAAATAAAAATTGGGAGGAAAGTTGTGCATATTTTTTTTATAAAATGTTCAGATACTTTGGATGAAATTACGAACAAACTGTCCGAAAATTGGAAGAAAAATATTTACAACTTTCCCCAAAAAATTGTATTTTATCGAAGGAAAATTGGAACGCGCTAAGTAGGAAGGAACCTAGCCACACCAGCTATTACCAAATTTAATCCGGCAATTGCATTTTTTACACGATCACGGTTCTGTGGATTTTCGTGCGAATTTCGGTAAATTTTCTGCACATTTCGAAGCAAATTCCCTAAAATTTTCAAAAAGATCCGCACAAAGGTTCCCTCGTTAAAAAGTGAATCGCCCAGTTAAAGACAACAGCTTTAGGTTCATAGGATGCTTATCCTTAGGAAGGCAGCATGAGAGTCCCAAGCAACCGTCCGGAGGCAGGCGATGCAGTGCGTTGTCCAGTTATTAAAGGGGGAGGGGGGTCCGGCCGAGCCNGGGGGGGGGGGGCGAGTGTCCACGGGGACAACGTTGAAATTATTGCGTCGGGCATGAGCGCGCAACGCTTACCACTCGTGATTATCAAAGCGGATAACGCCAACCAACGACCAGTGCTCGCTTTTCCGCCGCCAGCGCCGGTCCGCACCCGGTCCCCGCTTTCCCCCGCGAGTTTCCCCGCAATTTTCCGCAGGTCGCGCGTCGAATTTTCTGGGACACGTGGCGAATGCGCACGGAGTGTGGAAAATTTTGTGCGCGGCAAATTCTGGAATTGTGAATCTTCACGAGCGCCCCGCCGCTTCCAGTAATGGCAGCGTGAAATTTTTTTGTGCGAGTTGAAACTTCAGGTGGATTTTTTTGTCACGCTCGAGCTTTTAACCGACCTTTGACATTCATTGTTTTAAGAGTGACGCAGCCTCGATAAAAAGGTGCAGCATGCTATTGGAGGCGAAACTCGTTTAATTTCGAGCGCTTGGATCTGTTTTATTAGTGCCTCGCAAATTTTCGGCCGGCCCCGCTGAGTAGCGGACGCCGGTTTCGTCAAAAGCGTTCGGCCTATTGTGCATGCATTCGTGATTCTAATTTGCATTCATCAGGGTTGGATGTTTCTGCCGTGTTTGGTCTCGCTGGGATCGTAAAAATCGAACAATACGGAGTAAAACAAGCACTAATTTAGCACGCACACGTTTCGGCCTCAGTTTTGTCGTCATTTATTCAACGTTTTCTGTTTTCAATGATGTCAGATGCACNGGGGGGGGGGGGGGGGGGGGGGCGAGTGTCCACGGGGACAACGTTGAAATTATTGCGTCGGGCATGAGCGCGCAACGCTTACCACTCTTGATTATCAAAGCGGATAACGCCAAGCAACGACCAGTGCTCGCTTTTCCGCCGCCAGCGCCGGTCCGCACCCGGTCCCCGCTTTCCCGCGAGTCTCCCCGCAATTTTCCGCAGGTCGCGCGTCGAATTTTCCGGGACACGTGGCGAATGCGAACGGAGTGTGGAAAATTTTGTGCGCGGCAAATTCTGGAACTGTGAATTTTCACGAGCGCCCCGCCGCTTCCAGTAATGGCAGCGTGAAATTTTTTTGTGCGAGTTGAAACTTCAGGTGGATTTTTTTGTCACGCTCGAGCTTTTAACCGACCTTTGACATTCATTGTTTTAAGAGTGACGCAGCCTCGATAAAAAGGTGCAGCATGCTATTGGAGGCGAAACTCGTTTAATTTCGAGCGCTTGGATCTGTTTTAGTGCCTCGCAAATTTTCGGCCGGCCCCGCTGAGTAGCGGACGCCGGTTTCGTCAAAAGCGTTCGGCCTATTGTGCATGCATTCGTGATTCTAATTTGCATTCATCAGGGTTGGATGTTTCTGCCGTGTTTGGTCTCGCTGGGATCGTAAAAATCGAACAATACGGAGTAAAACAAGCACTAATTTAGCACGCACACGTTTCGGCCTCAGTTTTGTCGTCATTTATTCAACGTTTTCTGTTTTCAATGATGTCAGATGCACCAGGGCTTATATTACACGCGCGTTAATTCTCGTATTGTTCGATGGAAGTTTTATTTGCGTCTTCTTCTTTACGCGTCTATCCACGCGAGTCTCTTGGTTGGTTTGGATCAAATTACGAAAGTTAGGTACATTATTAACTCCCCTCCAGAGGCAAACGGTTTGGGTGCGACTGTCTAATGGTTTGTTGGCGGCAGATTTTCAAAATTCTTGGGAGAACCTTGACACTGCAGAAAAATTTGACGAATTTTTTTTAAACGTTCAGAAAATGGACGTATTTTAAAGCATACACTTTCCAACCGTGAGCGAATTTCAAATTTTTCGATCTTCATGATTTCATAACGTCGCAGTTTTCCCTTAAGCAACATAGCCGGTTTGGTACCCTTAAAAACGCTGCGAATGATTTTCCCTCGCATGCTCCAACTCTTGGAAAGCCAGGGAACTTCGAATTCAGGAATGCCTCTCCCCCCTGAAAAGGATTTTTCAAACACGGGTGTTTTTTACTTGTAAGGAACTATATTGATTGATTAATTTTTTAGTTAAAAATTGAAGGTTTGAGCACGCTATAAAGCCATAAGTAAAGCGGACTAACTATGCTCCGTCCAAAAATTATATCTTCGACTGTTGCGATAATAATCCGCTCTTGTCTGTAGTTTGACCGGTGCATCAGAAGAACCTGAGGACATAGCGAGGAGGTCGTGGGAAAAACAACTTCCTCGTGAACTAGTTGATCAAATCTATTCAATTTACGTGCAAATTGAAATTGAGAAAGCGGAAAACCAGTTTCTTTCCGCAGATTTTTCTCTAGTTTCATCAGAATTTTTGGAATGATATGGAAACGAATAGTTTCTCAATGATTCCGACGGCCGCTTCATACAAACCTCGGGAGATAGTTTTTGTCTCTGAGAACTAGAAAATCCTGTGAACCCATCGAAAGTAATTGGAATTGAGCGCTTTGTATGTAGAGACGAGCGGTAAGGTAGGAAGTATAACAGTAGTAACAAGTTGAATTTGAAATGCTTTCAAAATTAACTGGAAAAATAATGCTTATATAGCTTATATAGCTTATATGCTTATTAATAGTGCTTATAATAATGCTAATAATGCTTTTGATAGAATTACACAGGAAAATATGTCCAAGGAACTAAATTGAAAAATAAATCGATAAAAATAGAAATTTTCGATAGGCGACGATTACTGTCCCATGTGAAGATTCTCAGTTTTCGTTCGTATCTTTATTGTTCTTCGAAAAAAATATTTTTTTAGGAACAATGTATTACCGTGATTAACGCAAGTGGGTCATCAATGAAAGAAAAGGTTTAGAATTACTAGAGCCACTTCCTGGTGCTTTGGATGAGTTGTTTGGCGAAATCACTCAATGGAAAAGTAAGGAAGGAAGGAAAAATATCGAAGTTTAACTGATGAATCAGATAGGTGCATCAGATTAATGAATAATTAATGGAATCGTGTAGATAGATGATTCTATGCATGAAATAAACTTTCTCCGGTATAAGAACAAGCTCAACACAACTCAAGCCCTCTCACCATTTCCTAACTACACGCTCCATGCCTCCTCGTGTGATGGAAATCTTTAACCGATTTCGTTTGCTCCTAAGTTTCCGTTTCGCGTTTTTTTCGTTCAATGTACGTTGAAAGTAAAACTCACAATTGAAACGACGTTCCAGCGTCCGCATCGGGATTATCAAAATAAAACAAGATGCTCAGTGTAGAGCCTGTTACATTCTTTGCATAAATAAAGGCAGAGTAAGACTTAGCAGACTAAGCAAGAGGAAACTGGTTCTACTTGCAATCCCTTGTACGCAGGGCCGAGGGCCGGATCAGCGCTCAGGGACTCGCGCCCGCGGTGAAGAGGGCTAAAAGGGCCCGCACATTGCGGGTTGTATACACTGTAAATTGAAGGAGCGTTACGTTTCCAAGAAAAAACGAGTTCCAGACTTCCAGATGCTCTCCTTTTGATCCTAGGAGATTTTTTTTTTTTTTTTAAAAAAATACAGATTAAGAAGCCTTGAGGCTCCTTTGAATAGAGCTTCAGTTTTAAAAGGCCGCACAAATTATAATTCCTAAAAGCCAACAAAATTTCGACCTCAGGTTGCTAAAAGCTCATTAGGGGCCTAAAACCTGGAGTTTGATGGCCCTATAACATTGGCTGGCATACAATTCTCGTATAGCCTCATCCCTTCGGAATAATATTACTACGAATCGTTTGTTATTCGAATGACAGTGATCATCGTTTAATTGGTTTTATTATCTCCGTCTGTGAACCTACCGATCACCTTCTTCTTCACAGTAATTAAATGTCATTATGTTCTTCTACCATGATGTTGTTGGTGCTTTTAGTGCGTTTTCCGCGTCTCTGAGTGCCGTAGTTGTCAAATATCTTTAAAATGTACGTATTTATCGTTTAATAAAAGAAAGTTAAAAAAGATACTTTCACCTCCTTTTTTTCTTTCTTTGTGAAAAACCACTGTGACTACAACTATCTGAACCTATTTGAGCGGGAGACCTTGATTTTGTCCTGAAGGTGCTCTCAAAATTTAATCTGAAAATTTCACAACATTAATGGCACTTTCCGCAAACGTTTTTTCAAGACTCACTAGATGTGATGTGCTCAACCGCGTGCATCCAACGCTCCTATGTCTAATTTTCACTCAACGCTTCGCTCGAGAGACGTCACTCATCAAGGTCGTAAAGCTACACACTTTTTATCGTCTCGATTTCTTGGAGCTTCTCTTGCGAATAATTTCATGGACTTTTTCATTTTTGATCAATGCTCATAAGGTTACTTCTTGGATTGATGTTTCAACCTTCTTGATTAAGCGTGAAAAACTGCGCTCAAAATAAGAAGGATCAATCGGATCGCATTTAGTAGAAAGCAACCACCGCATTTACAGTATGTTTTTAAGATCGTGCAACTTCTTATTTTATTTCAAAAATATTTAATATGTGTACAATTTTAAAATTTACATAATTATTTTCCTATAAAATTAACAGGGTTCCCTGGTAAAAATGGCAAGTGCTCAGATCAGTAGCACTTGCCTTTGGAACAGACCTAAACACTGATGTAAGTGCTGCCGGGCGTTGATCTGCTACGTCAGTGTTAGGTCTGTTCCAAAGGCAAGTGCCTCTGATGTAAGTGGCACTGACCTAAGTGTCTCCGACGTAAGCGGTGTGGAAACTCCCAGAAATACTGTAGAGGCAAAAATTTAGTTAATTACCGATCCGCCAGGTACGTTAATTCACTATTTGACGACCAGGGAGGGCTACTGTGAGTTTTCCATCCAGAGACAAGAGACCCTCCACTAGTAACTTGGCTATGGTGGAAGCTTTTACTTTCGGGACTTCAGCATTCTACTGTTGACTTACCTACATGGTTGATGTTCAACAACGTGTTGGCAGTTTCGTTTTGCAAACAAGCCGAAAATGGCCGACGTTTGGGAAAGTTGTTTGGCTTATGACGTCATCCGAAGCTCATCATCGACCATGTAGGTAAGTCAACAGCCGAAAATATGGTGATGACTGTTGCTCGCTCATAATTGTCCATAAGGAATTGTTGAAACCCCGAAAGTAAAAGCTTCCACCTGTCGCTAGGAGGCCAGTGGAGGGTCTCTTGTCTCTGTTTCCATCACAAGTAATCATCACAATCTTCAGTGGACAACGCTCGTTCCCATACGGTCTCCACAATCTAAGTACTAACTACGCCCGACGTAGCTTATCTTCGGTGATCGATCTAGCGACTGAACCACTACACTACCTGCGCGTGTAAGTGCTAGGGGCGTAATTATGTCATTTCAGGGCCCCCATTGGAGTAATTTTGACAGCAAATGATGATTTTGTCTTTGAATTTGAATCCGATACTTAATTTTTTTATTATTCTTTTTCAATCAATCAACATGAAAATGAAGTTTTATATGTTATGTTTTTTTTTGAAAAAAAAAAAAAATGGAATGCATTAAAATTCAAAATTATAGCTGAGGATGTAAAAAAAATAATCAAAGTTGAAATGATACAAAAAATATAAATTAGCAGATACAAAAATTGAAAGTACTTAAAGGAGTAAAAAAGTTGGAAAATAATTAAAAATAAATTGGGAAAATTTTAAAAAAATTAAGACTGGAACATTTTAAAAAGAGTTAAAACTGAAAAAAATTTAAACCAAATTTAATTTTTTTTTTTTACTCTTAAGTTAAAAAAATAATAATGCTTAAATAACTACATCTAAATACATATTATAGCGGTGATAATATTTTTACCGATCTCATTTTTTTGTGTTTTAATTATTTAAGTGCCATCATAAACGAAGAAGGTTAAACAAATTTTTCAAGAGTGTGGCTACCTAAACAAGTTTTCCTTCCCTCTTAGAAAATCCCCCTCATAAAAAATATGCCTCTCCGTAAGATAAAGTTTGTGGTCCCCGTATCCCAAGGAATATTCCCCCACGAAAATAAAATAGGGTGGGGGAAGAGGGAGCCATCTCTACTTTTTGGGAGTGAGTGCGGTTCGATTAAGACTGATATAAGAGACTTACCCTCTGAACCAAGTCCTGACCTCAGTCCCGCTTACCTCAAAGATATCTCTGCACTTAGGTAAGTCTTCCTCCCGACGTCAGTGCCTCTTACCTCAGTGCTTACTTCTTGGGTCAGTGCTTTAACACTTACGTCAGAGAAAACTGAACTGACCTCAGAGCAAATTGCACTGACCTCAGTGGAAAATTCACGGACCTAACACTTGCCATTTTTACCAGGGTTGCCACAGTCAGGGAAAACCGGGAAATGTCTGGGAAAATCTGTTAAATCACCTTCATTTGCTTTCTAGAATGGGTTTGAGGTTTCGAACAACAAATTTTGCCGGAAAACTATTATCAATTGTGCCTTCTTAACCATCCGTCATACATATATCTTCAATTGTCAGAGAATTTCACCAAAATATGTGTCCGGGAAATCAGGGCATTTCATTTTCTAAATTCTGTGGCAACCCTGAATTAACATTTGTTTGGTGGACAGCCATTTCTATTCTAGGAAATTCTTTAGATAATCATGAAGACGCAACATTTTTACAAAACTGTAATCGAGCTGGTTATTTTTTGCTAAATGCAATCCAACTGTTCAGCCAAATTTTTCCCTAATCCCGGTCGGTGGCAATTTTTGAATCACGCTAGCCCTAAAAAAAAGGCACGCATCGTTCTTTTTAATATGAAATCATGAGAGTAACGCGTGGCGCTTAACGCCGGTAGCGCGAATGCGCTTCAAAGGGGTCGGGCCGCGAAGTGGTCAGGGGGCGCCCCCCTCGTTTTCATGAAAAGGAGGAATGCGAATTGTAATTTGCTGTCTGCTTATCCGCTACTTGCTACTTGATCATCGCGTAGACTTTGGTGCCGCGCGCTGTTCAAATGGATGCCAGGGCGAAGAAAGGCTGAACGCCTTCAATATCGTGCCTATGCAACACGGACATCCATAGAGCACGTATAGTTGCATCAAGGCGCGCTGTGTTTGTTCTACGAATCACTTACTAGATGAGTCTTGTTGTATTGCTGCTTGCAAAAAGATCGGAAATAGTCTTTAATATCGTTATTGGTTCATATTTTGAGATTTATAGCATTACACTTTTTAAAAACACCAGACATTGATCTGTGAGAAGAAAATAATGGAAAACTCTGAGACACAACGAAAAACAAACATTCATTGAATGATTATAGACAGATTGAAGACAGATATAGACGGACTAATATTTAGACGGATTTAACCACAAACAGTCTAGCTATAATTCAGACGTTGTCTAATTTCCATTTGTGTTTTATTTTTTAATCAGGAAACGAAGTAACACTTGACACTTGCAATTTTGTGAGTGTGTACTTCACCTTCTAGGGTAAGTTCATCGACAATTGAGAGGCGTTGAGTAGTTTGACACACAATTAAGCTGCATCATGTTAAATCTCGGGTTTCAACAAGGACGTAGAACGTTTTTCAATGGGTTGTTCTGATTCTCTATTGTTTTCACCTTTGGTCACGCGTTTTGCTTTGAACTTTCGTTGCGCCTTTTGAGCACACCAGTAACGTGGCGTGCTTTGCGATACGTAGATTGATCCGCCATTTGGACTTCATTTTGTAATTTGGAACTATAAATTCTAGCCTGGTTTAGAAACAACATATGTGCCATTAGTTTCCCTATGCACACAAGTGTTTGTCCAGAAGAGCCGGAATTTATAGTTCCAAATTGCAAAATGCAGTCCATTTAATCCTATGGGAAAGGATCGATAAGCAGGGTGTTCGTAGCGAACACCTTACTGCGTGATTCTTTACTATGACCTCAAATGGGGGAAAATATGGATAATCGATCGTTCGCGCTTTGCTACTGGAGCACACACGTTTCGCGCCTCACAAATCAGATTCTGAGGAAGACTTTTAAATTCGATCCAGCAGCTCGATTTGGCATTGATGTTTCCTTTTCCGACAATTATTGGATTTAACTGTCCAGGCGCACGTAATGTAAGGAGGTTTCATAACAGTTTGACAGTAAGCAATTGTATCGGCCGGTCCGCAGACTTGTTTAGCTCTATTTCGTTTTCGTGGTGTCCATTGTAGTGCAATTATTATCACGGTATCGCACTGATAAAATATTGTCCCTCGCAATTTTTATCAGTGTGATACTGTAATACTCTAATTGATGATCTTGTCGTTTGGCGCGTCGGGAATAATGCTGCAAGTGCGTCTTCATAATCAAAATCTTATTAAATTGAATAATAGTTTAATAAAAAAGTCCTCAAACTTCTGCTTAAATTTAAAACTAAATCCTTTTGTCAGGCATTTTATGCATCAAGATTTCAAATCAATCAATCTCAAAATTGCATTATTACTCTTGTCACAGAGATCATCAAATCTGCACATTAAGGGAGGAAAACTAATTCTAAGGCAAACAAAACCAAGATCTGATAAACCACGATTATTTGCAAATCGTTCTCTATGTGAAATTGTACAGGACTCTAAAAAGGTAGAAAAGGCTTCTTTAATAGCGGGCATACCATGTTTGCTCGGAGACAACTTCGAATTCAACATTTTAATAAACTGTTCGATTTTCAAATTCTTCGTCCTATGTTTCTGACTTTCATTCTGAGGGTTTATCTTAGAGTTTTCGTCAACTGGATAGTTTTCATTAGCCGCTTTATCTGTGATAAGAATTGCTTTTATATGTACATAGGGTGATCCACAATTATATTAGGGTGCACATTCTGTGCAGAACTAGGTCTATCATTAACGGTGGCGTGGCGTGAATGATCTATCATCGATATTTCCCCATTTGAAGCTATGGTAAATGATCAATTAATAAGGTGTTTCGCGGACACCCTGTTTATCGATCCTCTTCCATCGGTTTAAATGGCAGATCAGTCGATTTATCGCAAAGCACGCCAGGCCACTGGTCATTGAAGAAAAGAGGTCCAGGCTTTTTTCCGTATTTTCTCTTATCATGGAAATTTCTTGGATCTCACAGGCATTGTCTTCGATCATCATCGCGTCGGTTTTTTGTTTTGACATCGATTCTTCTCGTCGCACGATCATCAAATCATGGCTCCTCTGACGTAAGGGCGTATCTCTATTTCTACATGAGCCCCGGAGAGTACGGCGTTATACGAAGATCAGGGCTCTCGTGGACATTTGAGATACGCCCTTACGTCGGAGAGCAGAGGAGCAACGAAATCTACATAACGTCGTCGTTTTACCCCACAAAAGAACATAACTACATTTCAATGTTGCCAAATTTCCCCTCGAAAATTGCATTTTTGCGAGTAGAATCATGGGCTTTCCTAGCTGAAGATTTCACTGATTTTTCTTCTGATCCCATGCGGAAATCGGACACATTTTTGACGAAAATTGCATAGGCACACTCTTGTCAAATATTAAACTTGTTGAGTCAATTTTGCAACCTTGGATTGAAGTGCTCCTTCGTGCAGGAAACAACGACGCGTGCTCTGCCGTGCTAAGGAAGAACGCCGTATGAGCCCTCAGACGTTGCCAAATTTCTTTCGATAAAAACCGAAATTACCTGGGAAATATGTAAATGTTTTTTTCCAATTTCAGACAATATTTTTCGCAATTTAATCTGAAATATGTGAAAATTTCAAGAAAAAATGTGTATGCCTGGTCATTGAAAATACATATTTCATGAAGGGAAATTTGGCAACTCTCGAGTGTTCGCACGGCTTTCTTCGTTAGCACGGCGCGGCGGTGGTGTGCAAGTGACCCATTGCACTTGATTATGTGGCGAGAGAGTGGCCGGATCCAAGCGAATCGCATCCCATTGTTAGCGGCAATTTCAAGGCTTGTTTCTGCACCTCAGGTGGAGCGTCCGCGTCGCGAAGAAGTGCTCAAAGAACATTCGCAGTCGGAAGTCCAACGGGACGTGCGCGGTTTTGGCTGATGCGGCCGGAATCCAGGCCAGCGAATTAACTCGGCGGCACGCGCCGGAACCGCGAACGTGCGCGGGCACCTCGAGCCACCCGATAAAAGACTGATTGTTTCCGATGGGCACCAAAACGGCGTCTTGGTCGTCCGTCAGCGGAGGGATGAGCGTGGGGAGCAGATCCAATTCCAGCTCAAGCTCAAGCGAGTTCTCTCTGTCCGGCAGGTCGGCGTCTTCGGGGCTGTCCTACCCCTCGGCCCTGTCCTACCCCTCGGCCTCCATGGACCTGACCAAGTTCCACGACTCGGCCCATGCCCACGACTTCCAGCAGCCGCTCAGCCGGATCGTCATGGTCCGCAAGATGGAGCAGAGGACCTACGTAGCCGCCAGCAAGCAGGGGCAGGTAAATACTTTTCACCATCTCATTTCAATCACCTTCATACATGCCAGTGGCGTGGCGTCCTTTGCGATATATCGACGGTGAAACTACCAAACCACGTATCTCGTTTGCGGTGTTTAAAAATCTACGCTCGCATTTTATTTTTTAAGTAGACCAAATCAATATCATTCCTTGAAATTTTCACAGAATTTTCTCCGCACGAAGAGGAAAAATCACAGAAATTTTCAAGACTGGACGTTAAGTAGTTTTTCATTTAAAAAATAAAGTACGACAGGAAGTCTGCGACGTCGGAAACCGAGATACGTGGTTTGGTAGTTTCACCGTCGATATCCATTGTTATGCCATTTAAACCTACGGATAAGTATCTATAAACAGGATGCTCCCAGGCAACACCGTAATAATCGATTCTTTACCGTAGGTTAAAATGGCATAACAATCGATATATCGTGAGTCACGCCTCGCCACTGATACACGGTGTCTAAGATCGGGAAGAACGGGAATAACCAAGATCCACCAGAAGAATTTCAGGGTAGATGCTTCTCAAAATCTTCTCAGCCTCTTCAAAAAAATGTGAGGAAATTCGCTAAGTAAGTGCGTAAGGCGTATTTTTCATCTATATAATTGTAATTACATTAACTTTAGGGTGGGAGCAGCTCAGAATTAATTCCTCTCAAGACCTCTTTTCAAACTTTCGGGGGAAGGCTTCCAGAAATATCGGAGACCTCTGAGTCCCCCTTTGATGCTAGAGACATCATCCAAACATTCCTTTGGTGCTAGGAAAGTTTTGTGAATTCTTTTCAGCAGAGATTATTTTTATGTCCCTAGACCCCCTTTCATGAGGTACCCTTCTGCCCCTACTACGAAAAGCACCCAGTTCCGCTCATGTCCTCCAGTGTGTGCAATTTCACGCCTCATTTTCACAGAGTATGGCACTTCTGCCTTAATCGCAGTTGTCTCGGAAACTTCAAATCCATCGAAAGCATTTGAAGAGTATGGAAATTTAAAATTTGGTCATAGAGCCACCAGCTTAAATTGGACCGCGTTCAGCAGAAAGGAACCAAGCCACATCAGTTTAATCCTTTACAAGAGAGCGTATGCGCAGATTCCTTTGAAATTTTTCAGGAATTAGCTTCGCACTGTGTAAAAAATTTACTGCATTTTGCATAAAAATCCGTACAACCCTTTTCGATTGCGCCACAGTTTTGCACAGGTTCAGTTTCGCACAAATTTTGTCAGTGCACAATCTTGCAACGTCTCAACGCAGATCAGATTTAAAATCTTTTGCCGCAGCATCTTCGATGACGTCTGTATGTTTTTAGTCCAATTATTTTTATAGTAGTGGTTTTTAGTACCATGAGATTTTAAACAAAAGTGTTCCTAATTTTTTAAGTAGTTTTAAATGTTTTAAAATGAGTAGTAATTTTACTATAGTTAAAAATTACCGCGGCAAAGACAGCATCTCATACGAAGGCTTTAAGTATTACAAATTTCGCCCTCAAAATTCCAGTATTCCTCTCTCATTTATTTTGTGTAGAATCGTAATATTTTTCGAATTATTTGACCGTGAAAAGTAGAGGTTCTGCAATGTTACAACATAGTGCACTAAAATATAGCAATGCTTACCTTAAAGAATCAAAAGTGTGCGAAAAAGATAGACTGCCCCCTTTTTTTGAAAGAAATTAAATTGCCCAATTTTTGGCAACAGCTGATGTGGCTTGGTTCCATTCTGCTGAACGCAGGTGGCACAATTGTGCATGGTGTCCTTCTCTGCAAAGAAACCTAGATGTTTTCGTTCTTTAGACGTTTTATTTGAAGAATTTTTCCTAACTTTGATTTTATTATCATGCAGATAGTATTTACTCTGCATGTATCAATAAGGTAAAGTTGTATCTCGTTTTAACGTTTTTGAAGGGAATTAGAAGTAGAACGTAGTTTCCGGCGAAACTTTATTTCGAAAAACGCGACAACGATAAACGACAGGTTGGGCCTTAAAAAAGGGGAAGTGTTATTTCCGGATACACGTCATTTCGAGAAGTGTCATAACGAAATTCTATTGTAGCTGGATTTCCGTTAATTGATGGAAACGATTGCACGACTTTTGCAACGCCTGATGGTACCTATTTAAGTACCTGGTTTTGAATTTTCACTCTTCATGTATGCAACGCAAATGCTGAACAATTTTATTCTGAGAGTATATACTGAAAAAAAATGACTAAGTGCAACACTTTCGTTAATTTTAATGTGTAATTGTGTACCCCGTGACGCCAGCGGGTCGATTTTTGAAAGCTATGGACAAAGCTGTAGACAAAGGAAAATGGAGCGATCCTATCGATGGAAACGAGTGAAGGTTGTAGACTAAGGGGAAAAATGATGGACTAACTGCAGTGTCTCTCGAGGGATACGTACTGTTAGTTAGTTTTATACTTACCCCTTTGCGTCCATTGCAACCAACCGCTTCCACCAATAGGATCGCTACTTTTTCCCTTTGTCTGTCAATTTCAATAATCAGCCTGCAGCAGTCACCAGTCGCAAAGTGTCGATAGTTGACAATCGATATTATTCCATTTGAAGCTGAGCTGCCGTGCTAAGGAAGAACGCCGTATAAACCTTCAGGCGTTGCCAAATTTCCTTTGATAAAACACGAATTTCCTTGTCAACTTCTGAATATTTTCATTCCATTTTTCAGATAATTTTTTTCGCGATTTCACCTAAAGTTCCTGAAAATTTCAGGGGGAAATATGCATCCCTGGTAAAAATTGGCAGTAGAATGTGTGTTCCAAAATATTATAGACCTTAAGCTGGCTGTAAGATTTCCAATAGCTTCTGTAGCCGGCAACACAATTTCTTATAGCCTTTAATAGCCGATGACGATTTAGCAACCGCCAGACAATAAAGTTTATGCTAAACGTTACTAAATACGGATAGTAGGACTTAGTTAGTTTTTGGACTACCGCTCCCTTTTTGTGCCGTAGTATCTTGATTTATTTTACGAAGAAAGCTCCGTACTTTTGAAGGATGCCCGCCATTCCTAATATGTTGGAGCGCCTTCAATTTCGTGCGATACTGTGCAACACCTCTAGTGTGAAATAGTTGCTTCAAGCGCCGTGGTATATACGCTGCGGCGCGGCGAGCGGGCAGCCAGCGCGGAACGCGCATTGGCGCCTACAAACCTAACAGGGATACTTCACGCATTGCGCAATGCGTGAAGTATCCCTGTTAGGTTTGCAGGCGCCAGTGCGCCGCCGCTCCGCTTTGTGTTAGGCTCTAATATTTAATCTCGTGGAGTCAGCGTTGTTCAACTCATGACTTCGAAATGTTTGCACACTCTGTATGGACTATCCTCATTTTAATTGATGAAAAAAATGTGTTTTAAAGGAAAATACAATGTGTGTTTTGTAAACATTAAGGTAGTTCCGTAAAAAACTTAATGATTTCTGAAGCACACGAATTTCTACACAATTTCTTATACCCTTTTATAGCCAATGGCGATAAAGTGTGAAGCCCGGCGATAGGCACTATAGCCCGACTGTATACTTTTTTATAGCTTCGTATAGCTCGGCTATATGATTTGCTCCGCTTTCTACAGCCAGCTATATGATTGGCCCATTGGAGAGGAGTCATTTCTGGGCTGAGCCCTTCAATTCTAGGCAGCATGGCAGGAACAAATTGATTCCTCTAGAAGATCAAATCTGTAATCGCAAATTTTTCGCTTCTACCTTTTCTGTATTATAATATTCCCAGAGAAAAATTTTCCCCTGTGTAAACTTTTCACCACTACGATTCATAATGCCGCATACCGCTTATACTTCTTGTGGAATGAACGTGACGTCCAATGAAGTGGCTCCAGATAAAATTGAACCATGACCATTACCAGCTGTTGGACACATGCTTGCCTCAGAGCATCATATAATACACTCAAACTTTGCCTGAAATTTGATTAAGAAGCAGCAAATGAAAATGCGCCCGTAGTTTGAATTTTATACAATTTTAGGCCCGGTTTTTGGTGCCAAATTATGTTGGTATTATCAACCACCTAGGGGCCGTCCATAACCTACGTCACCCAATACTGGGGAGAGATGGGGGTTCAAGCCAAGGATGATGTAAGCTTTCCTGAAGGCAAAAAAGCTGATGTTCGTTTGAATATTTACCGTATCTACTGATTTTTATCGATTTTCTGCGAAATTTGAAAAAATGGATGACGTAATTTATGGACGGCCCCCTAACGTGGTGTTGTTATTGTATCGTAGATGTGAATGTTTATCATTGATATTCTGTGTTTGTTTCATCAGGGACCCAAAATTGAAACGCTAACGAAGGAAACCGTTCAAACTTTCAGAGGCAACAAAACGGAACGGAAAGTGACAACGTCGGAAAAGAGAGACGTCTCTGCAGAAATTGGTAAATATTTATTTTAATAATTTTTCCAAGTTCCTGTTGTAGCAATTTTTTGGAAGCTTTTCTGAAGTAAACATCAGCAATGAACAGAGAATGAGGGGCTGATAGTTTTGGCGCTTGGATATAGTTTGGGAAGTACACAATAAAAAATAAGCTTGAAATGTTTGGCTAATGCCGTAGCGGCTAGTTAATGTCCATTTCAGAGCTGTTTTCAGCCACAATTTTCAATCCTAAGAGAGCGTACCGTAATATTAATTAAGCCAATCCAACGAAATTGAAGAGAAAGAGTCTAAAAAATTAGTATGACTCCTCAGAAAGTAATATTTAATGTCACCATAAATGTGTCAGGGAAATCATGGAAATGTCCGGGAATTTCATTTTCCAAATTCTGTGGTAACCTTAATTTTTACGAGGAACCCGACTCCACAAAAAATTCCCTGACCCTCGACGGAATTCCCTGATTGTTCCCGGTCGATTTGCATTCCCTGATTTTTCCCGATCGCCAACCATCCTGAACTTTCCCTCCGCCAGCGTTTAGAAGAGCTGGTCGCCGTGTTAAAGAGTTTCCTCTATTTCCAATTTCAGGAGACGCAGCGAAAGAACTGATCAGTCTATCACGATCGACCTGTTCCTCCCCGGAGCTCACTGTCGACCCGAAGGTACGTAAGCTCATCATCATTCTAATTGTACTCAATGCATGCTCAATATGCACATCACTGACCCAGACCCAGCGACCGAACGGTGCTGCGGCAGACAGGTCGCCCCCGCACCTTTACCCCTCGCACCCAGACCCCGCCGGATATCCGTGGACCAAGGGCAGGGACTCCATCCACCCGTTGGCCATTATACTCGGCCCGCACACCCAGCACAGCGTCTCAGACGCCACAGGAATGACAAAGGACTCGCGCTGCGAAAGGGAGGTGGAAGAAGCTTCGTCGGATGCCCGGGAAACGCAACTTTTAGAGGCGAGAGCGGCCCAGAGAAACAGAGGTCCAAGAGGGAGCGCTGAGAACTTGCCAAGGCGTGTAAGCAGAACCGCAAGCGGTAGAAATAGGAGCTATTACTCGCCCATCAGGAGGAACACCAGCCCGAATAAAAATCAGGGCTTGACTAGGGCGCAGCACGAGGCAAAACGACGAGAAAGAGAACTTTTACGCCAGCGACAAGTAAAAGAACAAGAGCAAGAAAGGGTCAAGGCATTGTTGCGCCAGAATGAGGCGAGAGAAAGGGCAAAAGCACAAAGAGAATTAGAAGAGGAATTGATCGAACGGAAAGAAAGGGTTAAACGTGCAGAATATGAAGAGCTGAAGGAGCAGCAACGGATCTTTGCGTCTGAAATGGAGCGGCAACCGTCCTATCGTACCTATCACCATCAGTATTACTAGACGTCACCTAAGTCAGCATTGTGGGAGGGGTCCAAGTCCAGGAGGAGACCTGCGCTCATGGTACAGGTGAGAAAGCCTCCCGGCGAAATAATGGACTTCTTGAGAAGTATTGAAACCAAGCATTGCGAAACATGATCAGGGTGTCTACTAGTCCGGAATTTTCGGAAAGTCTGGAAAAAGTACTGATTTTTTAAGGGCGATCCAACGGGACAGAAACTGTGGATTGACGGTCGCCTGCGAAAAGACGTAACACACATGGAGCGGTCGTTCGATTGGCGGGCGGGGAGTCCCTGCTAAAAATGGTGAATACAAATTAGTAGAAAATCAAAGTCATGTGAATAGAATTCCAATTCATATGAATAGAATTTCAACTCATATGAATAGAATTTCAACTCATATGAATAGAATTTCAACTTACATGAATAGAAGTTAATTCATATGAGCAGTATTTCTCCATCCGGTTTTCGCCAACTTCTATGACTAGAGATTTCAACTCACATGAGTTCGGCGTTGAATCTACCGTGTCCGATATCTCAGAAACTAGTCACCGTATCAAAAAAATCATAAGAACAAAATGTTTTTATTTTTGAAATTTACACATTATGTCAGTGTCTCCTGGTAAGAAACAGCACTTCTGAAAAATGAAAAAATTGAATTCATATGAATTGAATTTTTCTGGTTTTATGAGTAGAATTTTTTCTCAAATGAGTAGAATTTCTTCTCATATGAATAGAATTTATTCTCATATGAGTAGAATTTCTACTCATGTAAGTAGGAAGTTCTACTCATGTGAGTTTGCGAATTCTGAATAGCCCATACTTGTCATTTAGGAGGGGTGGAGCTGTCCAATTGCTATTCTCGTCTTAATCTTCATATGTATTACAATAACTAAATACGGGAATGTTTACAATAAATGATTTAGAGTTGACAATTTTATCGTAAACTCACTTGAAGAATGGCTAAGTTTCATATCTGCGCGCAGATTTTCAAACAGTCGGCTCTGAACTCGATAGAAGTCCTCATTTAGCAGTCCCATAAGATATCGTGGAAACCGACTATCCTCGTCCTAACCAATTTGTTGCTCCTAGTGTGGTACGAATTTCACTGTTGGCCTAGCATAGGATCACCCTATCTATAGTTTCTAGATCGTTGGGGCGGTCAAAAAGTACTGAATTACGGAAGTTCCTCATGAAGGTCCGAGTTTTCTCCTTCATACCACGCGTTGTCTTTAATAAAGCCTGGGAAGTATGCAATTATCCCCTGCGCGTTGATTCTCAGAGTTATATTTGCCTGCAAGTCGCGACTGTGCAGTCAGTTAATCTTCAAGCACCAGTGAAATTTTTATGGCAATGTTATTTTTGTCGCAATTCGAGCGAGAATTTCAAATTTTCGAAAATTTTAAAATTCCGTCCAATGGAAGTACTGAAAAATTACGGAATTTTTATTTTAAGGAGGTATTGAATTTCTTAAGAATGTATACTGAAAAGGTATTGCAAAAGTACTAATTAGCCTGTTTTAGTAGACACCCTGATAATATTGTATTCTTACGCAAAGGAGGGGCTCCTAGTTGAATTTCCTCAACTTCAGGATTTTTTGCTCACTGAGGGTCATCATGACATCATCATTTGGTCATTTCCGGTCTATTTTTAGATCTAATACTGACCTGAACATGGGTCTGATGGCCGATCTTGATGAAGAATACGATCTTTTTGCAGTCTACCGCAAACCTTGAAACTTGCATTTTTCACCAGGCCCATGCTTAGGCCAGTATTAGACCCGAAAAGAGATCAAATATGACCACATTATAATGTACTAGGGGCCTGTGGCCGCTGCGCGGTCGCCAACTAATGAAGGAAAACTACACGTAAAATATTGCAGAACGACCAGATTCAAGTTATTCAAAACCCGACGCGTGCACTCGAAAGGAAGCGTATTTATCTCTAATTTCAACGTCATACATTGCAACGTTATTTTTAATCAATGTCTTTAAGAAGCTACACACAGTTTCACTCAAAAGTTTCCGCGAATTTTCCTTATTGATCTCAGATAAAGGCATTGAAAATTTTGATGCGATATTTCCGTTCGTTCTCCTTTTTTTTAAGTAACCAAAAAAAAAAAAAAAAAAAAAAAAAAAAAAAAAAAAAAAAAAACTAAATAACATCCAAGTTTCTGTATTGTTACGATGAGGATATATATTTCCCCTTCAATCATGGTAAAAACCGGAGCAGAGAGTCAAAAACGATGACACTCAGTCCAAGTGGGAAAGTTAACGAAGAGCAGGCAAATATCCAGGATCCTTCCAGGATTGCAGGCTCGCGTTATACACTGGTTGGATACTGTGTCCGCCGTACCGCAAGTGGTGGGTCTGACACCTAGGAATTACAACGATTATAGCGCGCACCGTGCTGTGCATGCAATTCGTGAAGTATTCCTACAGTCTAATATGCGTATTACGCCAATTGACCTACTGCACCGCGATTGGCGCAATGCGAGAAGTATTTACGCAGTCTTGCAGGCGCCAACATACGCCCCACGCAGACTGCACTGTTTGGCGCAATGCGAGAAGTATTCCTACAGTCTTGCAGGCGTTAATATGCGTTTAACGCCGGCCGCACTGTGTTTGGCGCGATTATTCGAACTCACTTTAGGGTATTCGTGGCATCGAAAAATTAGGCTTGACCATGTTGTGTTTCGACGCTGTATGAGCATTTCAACGTTGTATCTTTTCTCCTGATGAAATAATTTTTCTGAGAATAGTTAGGAAAGTTCCCTGTAATTTTCATTTTTTTAGATTGAATGGATCATTGAATAAGGTACGAATTTAAGCACTCTGATACATGATTCTTCACCAACATTTTACGTAAAATACGATTCCCGAAGCAAAAACTACCGAAATCAACTCTTAGCTGAGATACGAACATTTTTATTGTACGTTGGTCAGGGGAAATTTGATTTGCCCGGTCACAAGAGGAGCAGTTGTTTATCTTGTTCATCTATATTTCAATAATCAGCCCGCTGGGGACCTTCGAATCCGCTTGCGCGCGGGCTGCTTGTTGAAATAGATATAGGCGAGTATGGAGCGATCCCATTGGTTGAAATGGTTGGTTCCTATAGACTGAGGGAGGAAACAGGGTCTCTCTCGGGTTGCTGTTAGTTAGTTTATTACACTGAAAAGAAAAATCCGGCCGCGGAAGCCGTACTTACGAGCTATATACATATATATAGAAGAACTACCGTCCGCGTTCCGGGCTCGGAGGCCGAAAGTTTCGGGCGTAGTAGCCGGAGTAGTCGAAGCAACGGCGCCAGCACCCGGAACTTTCAGTCTCTAAGCCCGGAACGAACGGTATGTCTACATAACCCGTAACTTTTTTTTCAGTGTATCCACCTTCTTCGTCCATTGCAACCACCTGCTTCCATCGATAGGATCCCTCCATATCCCTTTTGTTTTCTTCGTCTATAGCCTTGTCTATAAATTTCAATTATCGGCACGCAGGTCGGGGCAGCGATGTAAAACCGTTTCCACCAATAATAGGATCCCTTTATATCCCTTTTGACTTCCTTTGTCTATAAATTTCAACAATTTTATCTTTCTTCTTCGTCTATAGCTTTGCCTATCAATATCAGTTATCGGCCCGCAGGTTGGGGCAGCGATGTAAAACCGCTTCCACCAGTAGGATCCCTTCATATCCCTTTTGACTTGCTTCGTCTATGAATTTGAGGAATGAGCCCGGCTGATAGCCGCTGGACTCGGATGGACGTTGACTTGCGAGCGAAGGAGGCCAACGGGTTTTTCATCGAAATTGGAGGCGAGTCACGCTCTCACCCGCCGGCGGAGTTGCTGTCGCCGGAAATCATCGGAATTTTCCCGCCTCCCGGGACGCACCCGCGGCTATCCGCGCCCGACTCCCTGGCAAACCTGCGCCTTGCGTCCGCGCTCGGATCCAGCTTCTGGAGCCGATGCAGCCGATGCACTTGCCATGTCCTTGGCTCCAGATTTCCCCGCCAAGTTTTGACGTCGTATCGTGCCGTTCCGGGGCCCCGCGAGACGGACCAGATGCTAGCCCGAGGACCGACATTCGGCTGCCCTAACCCCTAAGTAAGGATGCCGTAGGAACCATCAGCCGTTGCCTTTCCTCAGAAAAATCACGAATTTGCAGGGATATTCGTCGACTCCGATTTCTCGGCGGACTTCCGTCGAAATTTTATCTATAAAGTCTGAAAATTGCAAGGGCCAAAAATTAATACATACACAAGAGTTGCCCGCGCAGCACTCT